ATTTGGGTCGCAACCAGAGTCACGGAACAAATTAAGTTCGTGAACCGAGGTACCACTGTATTGTGCCATTGTGACTGTAGCAGCTTCTTTTGAAAGAACTTAAGAATGGCAGTTTTAGAAGGACTTGTTAAGTATTCTGCATGAGAAGACTTTGTAGGATGGATCTTCCCAGCCTGGGTCCTTCCAGTTGTTGTGAATTACAACTCTCATTAGTCCTGACAGCTGGCAAGTCTGGCTGGAATTGTGGAGCACATTGTTTAATGGCTTCCTTAGGATTGGGGAAAACATTACTGGAGTCATACAGTTTGCCTAGTTTCATTGTGCCAGCATCATGTCCTTCATGGCCTGTGGATGAACTCATCCTCAGGTCCAGAAGAATATTTGCCTGACTCAGCCTAAGGCAACTTTTGATGGTCCTATCAGATACTGAGTAGGCTATTTGGACAACACAACGTTGGGAGAGCCTGTCTTTCAATTCACTGTCCTATGATGAGATTTTTTCCCCCCTCATACACTTTCTTCCCTTCATGTTCTCTAGATGTACTTGGTTGATTCTGTGGGACGGCGAGTCCTTCTCCTTGTGGGTTTTGGAGTTTGTAGCATCACCTCTGTTTTGTTAACCGTGTCACTTGAACTGCAGGTGTGTAATTTGGAACATCAAGCGTGGGGAGAAATAAAGAGCTGAACATCAGCCAAGGGGCTTTTTTCACAATCTGTGCCAAGGAGTTTCCTGTGCCCCTTCCAGGTCAAAAAGCTAACTATTTCCTACTTATCTAGGAACAAAGCTATTTTCAGGTGGCTGACCTGCCTATGGAATGGTCAGATAAGAGACAGTATAGCCCACAGAGAGATAGTGAGTGGAGTGAGAGACTCAGAAGAGACCCTCCCTAGTTTCTCAGGGTGTATAGGGGATGGCTAGGGGGAGAATAGTACTTTCATACTTGCAATATTGATGTCGGCCTTGAGGGGTAAACTAGATAGGAATCACAACCAGATGAGCTAATTCTATGTTATTGTAAAGCTACATTGACAGAATCTTGCAAGTATGAAAGTACAAATCTTTTCCCTCCTCCCTGTCTCTTTTACAGCCTGAGAAACTAGGGAGGATCTCTTCTGAGCCTCTTGCCCCACCCACTATGCAGCTGCAGGCTATGCTGTCTCTTATCTGACTGTTCCCTTGGCAGTGTCTCTTCACCCCATCTCCCAAGGTCTTTCCCACATACCATTACACAATGGCTCATTCACACAGCCCAGAGGATGCCCTTTCCTCCTGTTCTCAGGATGGAAGGAAACCATAAGAATCTGGAAAGTGCTGCTTCTACCACACCTCCAACAGAATCCAGCAGAGTTGTTGCCTTCTGTTGACAGAGATGGTGATGGTGCTATCCAACAAGGGTGGAGTTAAAAAAAAGGGCAGAGAAGCGAAAAGGAGCAGGGAAGGAAAAGATCTGCTCTTGGCCTGGATGCTTGGCAGTGGGGAAGAAAAACAGGCAGACAAACAGATAAGGAAAAGAATGAAGCTGAGAAGACAAGCTAGGTGAGATCAGTATGGTGGGAGCTTAGTGATGGGAATAGTGACCTTGTGAAATATTGGGTTTTAGCCTTGTACAAGATCAATATTCACCAGACCTAGTCCTTGGGAAAAAGACAAAAAGAAGCAAAGGATAAGTTACACGAGAAAGGCATCTGGTCTCTGTGGCAATCACAGTTAGAATGGTCACAGAGGCACAGAGTCTTGCAGCTGGAAGAGGCCATTCCTGCAGTAAGCCAATTAGATTTGCAGGTCACCAACCTTCTGAGGACTCCTCCTCCCCATTACATTGACAGTTCACCTAGGAAGTCTTGTTCTTTTTTTCCAATGAGAAACACAAGCTTCTTGCTGGATCACCTTGCTCCAGCCTCAGCCTACTTCAGCAGCAGGCTGGCTCCTGAGATGAAGGCTTTAATGTGAGGCCATGGTAAGTGGGCTGCCTTGCAACCAGGATAAAGGGGGCTGTGTGAATGAGCCCTAAATGAGAAAGAAATCCTGCTGAAATTTAGCTTATCGCTATGTTAAAATGACTCTATTAATTGCCACAGACAAGCAGGTTTTTTTATTATTATTCTTTTATTTTCTGCCTCATTTACAAGCTGTTTTCCTTCAGTGAAAAGTTGCTGTTGTTGTTTTTAATGAGTGGAAGATCTCATTGGCCTGTTTTTTCAGACACCTAACACTCCCCCTTTGCATATTTCACCATTTACAAATCTCTCCAACCCTCTGCAATCTCCCACAGTCTGATCTGGAAAGATCCTATAGAAGGCCTCCTGATACTCTCCCTTGAGCTGGAATGGGAGCTTGGGAAATCAGGGAGGCTGCAGACCACAGAAGGGAGGAGTTCCTAATGGAAGATGGGACATCAGCATTCAAACATACACCCCTTGGCCACCTTGTAACTTAGGCAAATGAAAGAACCCAGTAAGAATATCATTGAACCTTTACTCTCAGCAATGGTGATGAAGCTCTTTCATTTTCTGGTTCAACGGGAGTGGAATGGAGGGGGGAAATCCAACAAATGAATGCAGAAGTTTAAACATCCACCCATATTCTGTTTAAAATCCTCTGGGGGATGAGCAAGGAGCAATGCATATTCCCACTTGTAGCTGTTTCCCAAGAAATGTACAAGAATGTTATATTGCAATTCTAGACATTTTACATTGCCTCTGGCACCTACTGGATCTTTGGACAAGCTGGGCAATGGAGAACAGGACAGCAGTGGTTTAAAAGGTATACCCGAGACCAGTATATCTCAACCTTGGCAGCTTAAGCTGAATTCCCCAGCCATGCAATTCCACACAAAGTTGCCAAGGTGGCGAAACACTGCCCTAGGCCATCAAAGTCATCTGCTGAGCTCACCAGTACCACCACTGAAATATGTTCACCTTCCTCCCACAGAATACAATTAATGAAATGTCGTATTTCAGCTCCCTTATGATAATCTTATTCATTGCTGCACACAACATTGGACCGGGTAAGTACTTCAGTGGATCCGGGTCCTCTGGGTGAAGTTCAAGATCCAAATAGGAGAAATCAGTTTGTCACTGAAAAGTGACTCCTCATTCCTTCCCTCCCTTTTCTTCACCAAGGCCCACTTCCAAATGTACTTACATCAGAGATGTTCTCTCAGTCTTGCCGATCTTCAGCCTTTGTGATTTCCGGCTTTGTGTTCTGGACCACAAGCCTCCTCACAGGATTAATATTCTTCTACATAGAGGTGAGTGACTTTGAAGACCCGCTTGCTGGAAACACCATCATTGGCATATTTCAAGCCTATCCATGAAGCTGTGTACAAAAAACATTTGTGGGACATCTGCAGTTTTCAGATGCTCTCTTGAATCTTGTCGCCAAAAAGTTTCCACTGGTCCAGCAGAACCAATCTTGTTTTAGTTTACAACTTTTTCACCATGGTGTCGGGGGGGG